GGTGCTTAAAATATGAGAATATTGGGACAAAATTCTGTTTCTAAAGAGCTTGGTGCTGAAATCCTTATTTGCAGTATTTTAGAAATAGTCCTAGTGTTAGAAGATAAACTAAATAAATGTTTAATTTAGAAAAATTTTAAACTAATTAAATCTATAAAACATTGGAGAAATATAATAGTTAAATAAAATTCTTTGACACCTTTGAGAGTAGCTGTTTTCATTATTTTGTAGGTAAAATGTAAAACTGACTTTGAGAGAAACAAAGGTAAAAACCAACCTTTTCCTAATCTAATGAAGGAATTGAGTGAATGAATGCAGTTATCTGGGAGAAGAGCAAGGAAAGCAGAAGAAATAAAAAATTCAAAGGTATAAAGTTTGTTTTGTATCAGAAGTTCAAAAAAAACCTCATTAAAGTGTTATAAAAAAAAGAGTACACCAAAAGGCAAATAAAAATTATGAAATAAGTATTTAATAAATCACACATAAAAGTTGTACTTTACTTGCAGTTAAGGTAGTATACTTACCTTACCAGAAAGAGACACATTTAGACAATCCAGTTGTCAAAAGATTAGAAAAAATATCACAGCTGGCAAGGGTGGTTAAAATTAGCATTACCATCTGCTGCTGGTGGAAGTTTTTTAGGTATATCGTTCTAGAAAATGACAGTATGCATGAAAATACTCTAAAGAGCAAATATTTTTTCTAGGAAGCCATAATAAAGCAATAATTTGAGATGAGCACAAATATTTATGAACAAAGATATGTATTATAGTTTTATTTATAATGTGAAAGTGTAGACCATTTAAACAATCCAACAGAAATAATCATAATTATTGGGAATTACTGTTTTATTTTCATATACCAAGTAGTGTGATTTCTGCTATGTATGAATTATCTCATTTATATCTTTCTAAATTCATGTGCTGTATAGCTAGTGTTTATTTGTTAATTTTCCTATCTCTGTGTTTATACATAGGGTCAGATTTTCATTGGTGGAACTCCCCTTTCATCATGTGTAGGAGCCATGTGATTTGAAGAACAGGCCATATCTGAATCTCTAAGAGTTCACTCTGATTGGTGGGAGTGAGTCAGTGGTTGTACACCCCAGTGATTGGTTAAGAATGTGCTTGTTACCTTTTTGGTCCAGAGTAAATCCCAGGACTTGTGATTAGTGATTATAAGAGAAATGCTTCCAGCTCTCTCTATTGTTTTTGCTGAGGCTCCTTTGCTCTTTCTTCCCTGTCCTCGCCACCTTCCACCCCTCCAATTCCTCTAAACATTGCCAAGATTTCTTTCTTTCCTTCGATTTATTTTCTTTTTTGAATTCCCAATTGTGTTAATAAAAGTTTCCCTACCCAGGTATGAACTTCACTCTGCCATACATTTTTTACTAACTCACATTTTTAACCTGTGACCAGTTGTAACTACTTTGGATTCATCCTGATGCCTAGGCTGTGTTTTCCATAAACAACAATATTTAAGAGGTCAGAATTTGCAGAGTTAATGTTAAAAAAAAACAAAGACTTAGCCTTAACCTATTTAGGCTGAAAATATGATAAAGTGTCATACAAGCGACTTGTGTTTTCTACTGATTTCAGCTGAAAGAGTGAATGACTTGATAATTGTGCTCCTACTTCTTCTAATTAGAAAAATTTCCTGCTGGTGACAGCTTCAATGCACTGCTAAAAGTTTTGTGTCAAATGTAGAGGAAAGAACTAGATAGAATTTGTTGTTAAATTGGTGAATTTAAAATTCTGTTAGTTCTGAAATAGTTTGTCGTGTCATATCCTCTATCATTTTTTCTTTGCCATGCTGAGAACTTGAAATGAATGTGGAAGAGTATCAGGTGATGTGAATTCTGGGTCCATACTGACATCTCTGAGAATAGGAAAGCCAGGATCAGGGTGGTCTTGGCCTTGCTTTATTCCTCCATAAATTAAATCTCAAGCACCCTTCTAGTTTTACATCTCACAAACAGGAATGCTCTGAGTCTGTTTCTATTTTGCTTTCCCACATGACAATTATACACACATTTCTAAGATGCAGTTTTGCTTGTCTCACCTCGACTTCACGGTCTCTTCAGAGCCACATCTGCATAATCTTCGACAGCACATGACTTCCCTGTTTTGTTATACTCTTACTACCTTTAGAGTAAAATCTAAATTTTATGGCATGGCATCCAGGAAACTTCTTAACAAGGCTTTACCTTACCACTAAAATTTCTTATAAAACAGTCTTTCACAAGCATCCTATTTTCAAATCATGAATACCTAATTACTTGCCTACTTGAAGGTGGCATGTTTTTTCTTATTCCTGTGCTTTTGCCTATGATGTTCTCATTGGCAACTTTGGCCTTTCCCAGTCTTTTCACTGAATAACTTCTAAATTAAAGGTTCACAGGTCCCACCCTCTCCTCATTTCTTCCACACTTGACCTTGCCATTAATGCAGTTCTTAACGCACTGATAAAGGATGACGTAGACTTACTTTCTTCTCCCTAATGACTAGTACAATTAGATATTCAGTGGGTGCTCAATGAATATTCTTTTAATGAACTAAGTTCATTTTCCAACTTCCCTTAGAGCATAGGGGTATAGTTATGACTGTGTGTATGCCCACACCTCAGTGAAAACACTAGAATCCAAGGGAAATGACGGCCCCAAGCCACTTAGGGCAGCCGTCCCGAGTCACTATGTTTGTGCATTTTGCCTGAGGCATTATGGTGAAAAGACTGGAGAAGACATCTTTAAGAAAAGATGCCAAGGCATTTGGACTTCGTAGGGAGGGTGCTATGGCCTGGTTGCCTATGTAGGGATTAATTAAGATGTAAATTTAATACAAAACCAAGTATTTTTTATTAAGTAGAATTAAATTTAATCTGATTTGATTGCATGTAGATTGTAAGGGAAATTATAGGGATTAATAATGCAAGGTTTCTGGCTTGAGCAATTAGAATGAAGATTGTACTATTTACTTAATTAAAATCACAGGACAAAGCAAAAAAAGTGAAGTAAGACAGTTATAGGCCAAGGATCTGATTTTGTATATTTTGAATTTAGATGCCTGTTGGAGATAAGCAATGAATATTCAGGAAAATGTTCTTTTTGGCAGCCTTTTGCAAATTAGGTTGAAATATTAAATTCTTGGAGCTTATTTAAGAAAAATATGTAGTAACATCATTTTTAAGATGGCGGTTTCTTTCATTTAATGTAAAAATACCTTTTTGCTTAGCTTGTTTGCTTAGCTTGGTTTTATTGTATCTGGAATATTTAAAGATATAAGTGTTACAGTAACAAATTAAAGCATTTAGTCACATTGCAATGTTAATAATGTTTTTTTTTAAACTTATACTGTTGGGAAAAATGAATGGCCTGGTAAAGAAATGGCAGGTTTCATTTAACTTCATTACATCTTTAAATTTAATGAGAATATATAATAAATGATGGCCACACCACAAAATTGAGTGTGTTATGCTTCTAAAATTTAAAGAATCATTTGAATTGGAAATCAAGATTTTATGTTAAAAAATGTTCAAAAGAGCAGCTCATAAACACATCACATTTTTTTGCAAGGATACTTAAAATGCTTTTTATATTATCAAATCTAATCACCTCAGACATGAATAATAGATTCACTTCAGAGTAGATGTCATTTTCCTGCAAAAGGGAAAATGGAATAGGCACAAGTTGATTCTTGTCTTTTGACGTTGGGTGTTTTGGGCTATTCTTTACTCAGTAACATTGCATAAAATATTCTAAGTTGAAAAATATTTCCCTCAGTAAGACTGGATTTCAGTCAATATGAGATAAAAACAAAATCTGTGGGATGTGAAGTTGAATTAAGTTGAATAATTTCAGGAAAATATTTACTTTGCTATAATATTGTGAATTTTTTTAACAGTCTGGTTATCTTGGATTGTCTTATTTCTTTTCTGAGACTAATAGCTGCACAAAATAAATAGAGAAGTTACCATTGTGCTGGAAAGGAACTAATGTTGCCTTTCATTTTGTTCCCTCTTCCCAGGGACCAGAAGGAGAAAATGATCTGGTAAATTGCTCTGCAAATCCTGACAGAGTTTTAAGATTACCTTTTAGCTGTGTCTTCTTTGAAATGTCCTGTCCACGATGAACAAATTTATTTCTAGTGATGGAAGAATGTGAAAATTCAGTCTTTACATTTCGAGCCAAGATAAAGTGGGTTATATCATTTATATACCCTATGGCCCATTAATGCTAAGAGAATAACATATGATTTAATATGAAATGATGGGAGATACACATTTTTTGGTTAAAATTATAAATACCGATAAATGGCCTTAAAATATACCCTGCTTATATTTTAATTCAAATTTTAAAATTGTGGCCTTGTATGATAGATGTTATTAATGCTCTGCCTATCACCTCTCTCCCTTTGAATCTCCTAAACTTCTTTTCTTCATTTATTACCTCAGAGTTTGCCTCCGGGGCCAGCTAAACTAGGGTCCCTTCTTTTTTTCTATGTTAAAAAGTAAAAAAGAATAGGGTCAACAAATAGATAAACAGGCTTCTAAAGAAAATAATGTGTGAGGTGGAAAAAGCTAGCTTTCAGATGGTATAAATGCAAAGAGCTAGAGATAAAATATTTGAAATCTGTCTTTAGTCTGTAATTTAAAAGAGTAAAAGATGCAGGTGTGGCCTTACCAATGGTTTATGTGAAAGTTACAGAGTAGGCAGAACAAAACATGTGTTTTCATATATTTGCCCCCAAACCCACCACTCCACCTGCCCCCCCCATACAAAAGCTCTTTGATATTTTGGTAAGAAGAAATACTGCTACTTTTTGAATTTAGGTCAGAGGTAAATTTGAAAATACCAAATTAAGGGAAGGAATAATTTGTGTTGTTTCTCCTGGAAGGAAAATTTTTTTTTGTTTTAGAATATGTATTAAAACCTCTAAATTGTGGTACACATAAATATAATCATTGATTCATTCCACTAAGTCCAATTTTAATTCTGTTTTTAGTGTTATGTGATTGCATCTGATACACGTAGGAGAGAAAGTGACTGCAAGAGAACTTGGATGGCAGCTGCATGACTGAAACTACCAAAGTCAAGTGTCGGTATTCTTTCAACTAAAGTTCAGCAAAACCAGGTAAGAATAAGTGATTATTTGTTTATTTACTTTGAGCTGTTTGGGAAAAAAAATTGAAACTAAAAATGTTTTTATTTGCACCAAACATTTTTAAAAAATTGTAAATTACATAAAAACAAAATACTGTAAAATTAAAATTATGAATGAACCTGTTTTCTAAAAATTGCTGTCATTTTGTTCTCTATCATTTGATTTTTGTTTTGTTGGTTTTTCCCTGTATGCAAAGTTGATAATGTTATACACATTCTTTGTTGAATTAATTATTTTTGTAACATATCTCTTTTGTCCTATTTGATAATATGAATTAGTGTTTCATGGTTTTTATTGTATTGGTTAATATGAGCAAATTATTTTAAAATATTTTGTATATTTATTATTTAGATAATATGCTTATAGGTAGATATATACGTCGCTCATTTTGCATTAGTGGTTACTAAAATTAGCATCCCTGGTTCAATGGTTATAATATTGTAAAGGCTTTTTACTTTTATGACTGAAATTACCTGTAGAAAGTGATAAGGAATTACCACTTCATCAGTTATTTTTGAAAATGTTTGTTAACTCATTGACTTATATTTTTTTATTCCAAGAATTTCCCTAAGAAAAACCTAGTGGAAGAAAAATTAAAAATTGAGATTCTAAATTTTGGTTGCAAGCATTAGTACACTCTACTCACGTATTCACCACTATATGCCTTATAGAACAACATAATGTAAGTGTAGAATAAAGTGAATATTATATTTGCATTATCTTCCCACAGTCTCTAATACTTCATTTATGAATGATGGCAAGTATACATTTATTCAACTAATCTTTATTGAAAACATTATTATAGTAAGCCTAAGGACTGTGATTATTTCAAAGCAGTGGTGGTGATTCTAGGTATTACATGCAGAAAGGTACAGAAACAGTTTCCTCTGTCTTCTACTTTTCAATAAAATATGACAACCTAAGAAACATATTTTGGGCCCTTAGTTACAGGTAGGATGTGCTAAGTGTCAAAAAGAAGTATAAAGAAAGGGCAGTTGCTGATGATAATACTTTCAGGGTGGCAATTGTAGAACACAAATGAGTCACAATGTGAGTTGTGCTTTTTGAGGTCCATAGAACTCTAAAGGCAGGTGAACATTTAAATGGAGGATCAAGTTGGACCAAACGCGCAGAGCTGAGGCAGCACAGGGGGTATTCGGGAAATTGGAAGGGCAGACAGATACAACAAAGCAGCGGGAAATACGTTCTGTGACTTAGATATTTATATTGCAGCAGTGTGTGTATGGTGAAGCACAGTTATAGGACAGTTAGACGACCCACGTCCTTTCAGAGGCTTCATGTGGAAATGATGTGCATGTTAGACTAATGAACAGAGAACAAACCCAAAGGAAGAGAGAATAATTTGTACACTTTTTCTTTTATTTTCAACAGCGTTTGTTCAATACTTGCAATTTGGAAGACACTACAATAAGAACTGTAGAAAAAGAAAGGTGAAGAAGATGCAGTCTTCACCCCTGATGAGCTTGTACTTTAGTGGATGAGACTTGGGTGACAAACAGATAAATATAACACACAATGACAGTGTAACAGTTGAATTATATTCAAGGAAAGACTAGTTGGTAACTAATTACTTTAGAGATGCAGGTAGTGGGTTATCGAGATGCAGGTACTGGGTTACCCATTGATGAGGTGGTCCCACAAACATCAAGTCTGATCAAGGTTCCCTAAGAAGCAATGTTTTTAAACTTTTCAGTAATTTAAACAAGAAACAATGGAAATGTTAGGATGAAAGTAGTATAAATAAAAAGCAGGGAGCAGGATGTAGGTAGATGAGATTTGGCAGTGGTAGAAGTGATGGGAAGTTAAGGAAAAGGGAGCCTGTTGATGGCATTAACAGAAATGGGGAAATCCAAAAAAGTGAATTTGGTTTTGGCAAATTAGTAGGTTTAGTTTTAAACACTGAGGGGTTTTCTGTGCTCCCTTTTCATATCTTTGCTAGAGCATTCAGAGCATTTTTATTAAAAAATTCATTGCAATTTCTTATCTGATGTTTGTCTAGAAGGTATACAGCCATGTAGTATGAAAAATAGAGACATTTATAGAAGATGATACAGGATATAAGAAACATTGTACATAGAACAATGATGCCTCAGTTCCCTTAAAAGTAGTCACCTTGCGACTTCACACAATTCTCCCAGTTGCCATCAGCTGCCCCATCATATTTTTCTGAATCTCACTGACAGTCTGAAGTCTCTTCCCTTTCAAAGGTGATTTTAGTTTTGCGAAAAGTCAGAAGTTGCAGATGCCAAATCTGGGCTGTAGTGGGGCTGAGTCAGCTGGGTGATTTGATGTTTCATCAAAAAACTCTGTAGGGGACATGATGCATGAGTGGGCACATTATCATGATGGAGCTGTCAATCACCAGTTTCCCATAGCCTCGGCCTTCTGAATCCAAATAATTTCTGAGAAGGAATGTTCAAGCTTCATGCAAAACTTGATGTAGATTCATTGCTCTACTTGCTCAGTCATTTTGTTTTTGTTTAATTTTTTAAAGTTTAATCTTCATTGTATTTTTTTCCATTACCATTTAGTCCCCTAATAACCCCTTCCCCCCAACAGGCACCACGCTATTGTCCATGACCATGAGTCCTTTTCTTATTTTTGCTCAGTCCCTCCAGCCCCTAACCTCCTCCGCACCACTAGCTATCATCGGTCAGCCATTTTGAATGTGATGGCCATAGTAAACATACTCAATGGTGTCTACCACCCCCACCGACTAGTACAATGAAGTTGTCACTGTTCGCTCATGTGCATTTCAGTCCACTCTCCTTGGCTGCCAGCTTTACACTGATGTCAGACAAGCTCTTCTCATTATATTAATGGCTGGACTTTTTCTGGAATGAGGATTCATTTATTTACTATTTAAAGTCATTTGGGTTTCCTTAAGATGAAAGTACAATAATAAGAGTAAAAACAAGTTATACCAAACAAAACATATGACCTATGAAGTAAAGGTCTGATTTGATTTATAACTATCTGTGTAGATAATTTAGCTTTAGCCCTTTTGGCAGTCACAGAAATGGGTATATGTTCTTGCCCTAAAAGCTTGCATAAGCTTATTGTAGAAATATTATGTAATGGAACAGAAAAATGTCCTTATTGCTTAGAGGTGCCTTAAATATTGCATTGTTGAAAGGAAAGAGAATATTGTTAATACATAGTTATAAGTAGCTAAATTTGTGAAAATTAAAATTCAACTTCTCCAGGAAGTTCTTTTGAAATCTGGACCAGATCCTTCTCCTTAAGTAAGGTTTGTACCTTACTTAACACCTTTTATATTTCTCTGCCATAGAGCACATTTTAGTCTTGTCTATCATTCCCTGAAACTACACAATCTTGGGACTAGGCCATCATTTATCATTTTATACATATATATGCGCGTGTGTATATATATATATTATAAAAGTGTACATCTAAATAAAAGTCATCACAATGTTATTTTGTAGATCATACTCCATATATGTTTCTTTTTTTTAAAGATTTTATTTATTTATCTTTAGAGGGGAAGGGAAGGAGAGAGGGAGAGAAACATCAATGTATGGTTGCCTTTCATGCATCCCCTGCTGGGAACTGGCCTGCAGGGAACTGGCCTGCAACCCCGGTATGTGCCCTGACTGGGAATCGAACTGCAATTGTCTGGTTCTCAGGCCCGCGCTCAATCCACTGAGCTACACCAGCCAGGGCTCCATATATATTTCTTAAATGCAAAATTAAATTCATTTCCATGGCTTATCTTAATTATTGCTGAACTAGCCTATACACTTTTTGTGAGCTCCATATTAGATATTGATTGTTGTGTGATAAATCACTCCAGAAATTAGCAGCTTAAAACCAGTGCTTATTTACTGTCCCACAGCTTCTGTGGGCTATTAGCCCAGACCCGGTTTAGCTCGTGTCTGGCTCTTGGTCTGTCATGATGCTGCAGTCAAGCTGTGCACTGGAACTACGGTTTATTGCAAATTCAACTGGGTTAAGGGTCCACCTCCAGACACAGTCATGGAGGACCTCTCTCTATAGAGCTACTTCACTGTAAAGAAGATAGCTTTTCCCACAGCAAGCAATCTAGGAGAGAGCAAAGGTGAGCCCTCGTGGTGGAAACCACATTCCTTTTTAACCAAATCTAGGTAGTGTCATCCCACCTATAGTGAGTTGAATGGTGACTTCCAAAAAGATGTGTTCAAGCCTGTGGTACTTGTGAATATGACATTATTTGGGAAAAGAGTCTTTGCAGATGTCATTAAATTACGGGTGTTGAGTGTGATCATTCTGGATTAACTAGACGAGTCCTAAATCCAAGGGCACGTGTCCTTGGACACACACACAGAGGAGAAGACCATGTGAGGACAGAGGCAAGGACTTGTGTGATGCAAGTATGAGTCAAGCATCACCTGGAGACATCAGAAGCTGGGCAAAGCAAGGAACAAAATATCCCTCACCGCCTTCAGAGGAAATGCAGCCTTTCCGACACCTTGGTTTCAGACTTCTGGCCTCTGGAACTGTGAGAGAAAAATTTCTGTTTTAAGCCATGCAGTTTGTGGTAATTTGTTATGGGAGTCTCTCGAATAATATACCACCACTAATGCAGTTTTAATGTTTTAGAAGTGATTCTGTAAGTCCAGACTTCATTCAGTTGTCAGGGATCACAAAAAGGCATGAATACCAGCAGGTAGAAATCAGTGGAAACCATTTGGGAGACTACCTACTCCATCAGATTTCTGGATGGCGCCATTTGATTGACATGTCTGTGTGGTTGGCCGAAATGCAACAGGTCAGAGATTAGGAGCATGATCTCACATTTTCAAAAATTATGTTCTTTCTTTTATATTTCCTACCTCTCAGATTAGAATTACTATTCATTTGGTTAGTCAAACTTGAAAGCTTAGAATACATTTTAATTCCTTCTTTCTTAATGCCATGACTTTTAATTGACTAACCAATCTTTTTCATTC